CTTTTCCTCCTTGGACATCATCATCAACATCATAATGTTGTTTTAACCAAGATCTCAATTAAAAAGCAAACAAACCTAGAGAATGTGGAAAATACATGGTAGAGGTAGCTAAGCTAAGTATGAAAGTTAGTATGAAACTTGAAGGAAAATAAATTGCAGTATCACTTTAGTGTCAGCAATATATAACCATGAAGTGAGACAAGGAAAACCAGAAAGGACAGTTTTACTGACACAAATAAGTAAACATAGAAATAAAATCCCCAAAAGGAAATGAACACACAGATGAAGTGGCAATAAACAAACTGTACACAAGATGAACAGCCAGAAATAAATTAGCAAAAACCAAAATAAATGCCAGCAAGCAAGGCAGATGCAAAAACCCCCAAGCAGCTGTTAAGGAAGAGAAAAAGGAATTGAGCAAATGTTACATGTAAGTGGAAGAAAACCCCACTGCACGGCATTTCAGGGCTATTTCCTAAAATACGTTGATTTCTGTGAATTCTAGTGGAGTATTTTAACCGTGCAGACAGTATAGGAGGACACCAGTTGGTGGAGGCTTTAGGTTATCATTTGTTCCCATTCTTACATTTGTTTTCTTAAAAAGAGCGAAGGCTTTTCCCCTGGGCATATCCACTGCTGAATATGTTGCACATTCCCATAAAATCAAACATTCACAGTGCTGCCCACAGCAAAGCCTTAGAGGCCTGTATTTGCAAAGTTTGTACAATGGAGGATTCAGCTTTTGGTGGAAAAATTGGTGCTCAGAGACTACCGGCGATGCTGTCTACCTGATACAGAATATCTTTAATAAATTAGTTGAAAAACATCCTGCATTAGTTTTGTTTTTCTCCTCTTTAGCTCTTCCCTGTTATTAAAGCTTCAGTGCTGGACAAAAACGTTACTTCCTGGACCATACCTCTTGGGCTATCATGGGGGTTGTTGGAAGAAAAAAGTGTCATATATTTTTTCAGTTGGCATATGTATTTTCTCTAAACCGAAAGATTCCATGTTACTTTTTTTGATATTAAAATACCTTTGCAGCAGAGAAAGTTAAAAGTCAAGAGTTTCAAAAAATGAAGTTTGGGAGAATTATGATACTTCTGTTTCCCTCCTTTTTTTTTCCTTCTTATTTTTTTCTCTACACTTACACAAAAGTAGTCCTTTGGTTGTGCTATTTCTTATTTGAAATTTTGTGCTTTTCTTCGTTGCCGTGGATGGCATTCATCTCTGCCAGAATGTCTACTCCATTTGCTGAAATTCCATTTAAGAGCAGCTGTGGTATCTGTAAATGTTGGGTTAAAAGTCCCATTCTCCAGATAGCAAAGACACAGTCAGAAAAATGGATTCAAGCTCATTTTACTTTCTAGTGTTGCTCTCTAAGCCACACTTCTTTTATGGCAGGAAACTGAAGTGCATGGGCAGAATTCGTAGAGATTGGTTTATACCGGATCACAGGTAAAAAGAAAATCATAGGTTAAGTAATTGTTTTGGAAGAAGAGCTGGAAACACCAAATTTCTTTGCCTCTGCAGGTTATCTTATGATTACACCGCCCAGAAAAAAGCTTGATATAAAAGACTTAGATTGGATATAAGACGGAAGTTCTTTACTGTAAGGGTGGTGAGGCACTGGCATGGGTTGCCCAGGGAAGTTGTGAATGCTCCAGCCCTGGTGGTGTTCAAGGCCAGGTTGGAAGGAACCTTGGGTGACCTGGTTTAGTGTGAGGTGTCCCTGCCCATGGTAGGGGGGTTGGAACTAGATGATCTTAAGGTCCTTTCCAAACCTAACTATTCTATGATTCTATGACTGATCAGGATGTGAAGGACTTGCTTAGAAAAGTGTGTTCACACAGAAACTGATTGAAGACCAGCTTTTTTAGATCATTTCCATCTTCTCCTTATGATGTCCATTTCAGCTACTTTCTTGGCTAGTCTGGCATTTCCAGATGCATTGTACAAAATAAGAAAAAAAAAAAAAATTGTTCAGTGGTTTGGGTATTGATCAATTGTGGGAGATGTGAGTTCAATGACTTCTGCCAGTATTGTGTATGGTGTAATGTGCCATTGTCTTACAAAGATGCTGTGAAGAAAAACTGTCTCAAAATGTGTGGAGGTCCTTGTTATGGCAGAGTTGGGGCCACTAAAGGAGTCTTGTGGACACGGTCCTATAGTGCTGGGAATTTGACATCACACAGTGTGAAATCTGTGCTATCAGAGGCAGATTTTAACTTTTTCTAAGCTTTCCGAGATTTTTTCTTCATGTGCTGCACGCAAAATTTGCATCTTGCTCAGGCTAAATTTATGTATTCATTAGAAGCATGAAACAACTCATGCTGCATTTATAATTCATAAAAATATTTGCACTTTCTATTATGCATGTCCAAGCAGTGTCCATGATCCATAACTTCAAACATTTAAGCTGTAAAATAATTGGGAGTCTAGTCACTTCTTAATTAAAGTAACCTGGAAGTATTCCATTTAATGACTTCATAACTGGCATCTAAACATTTACTTCCATCTTTTTGCTTTTAACTAGGTCAGAGGTGTCTGCAGAAAGCAGTTTTGAGCAGTTGTCTATATGTATTGATTTTAAAGTGCCACTTGAAAAAGTTGAGTGCATCTGAATACAGAAATATGGGTACATTAACATTTTTATTACAGCAGCTATGGAAGATAGTATCATCCCTTTGGGTTTTGTTTATTGTTTAGGGATGCTTATAACAAATGACTGTCTCACAAATACAGAATAAATGCGTTTTGGTCATTTTTTTGTCTGTTGATATAAATGCTTTGTGAGTGTCTCTGGAGCATCCTTCTACATATGAAATGAGGCAGGGCTATTGCATGGGGAAACATAGTACAGAAGTGCTGGACCATCTTTTAGTTAGCAGACTAGTGGGTGAGGCTGCCTGTCTATCCAAGTGACAGAAAACAAATTATATAAAGTAATGACTCAGTTGAATTTGGTATGTCATTGAACAATGCGGTCACTTGAGCCTAAGAATCTGACACTGGCATTTCAGTTATCAGTTTCCCAGCTTTTCGCTGAGATTATGTTTATGCTTTACCCAACATCATAATAGAAAAAAAAGAAAACCCAAACCATTTAAATTTGGGTTCTTGAAACCAATGCCTTGCATTGTAGGAACTCATTGTAAATATAACCTGCACTCGTTGGTCAGTATTCAGTAAGGAACATTTCATGGAATGATACAATTTCCATAGAAATTTTGCTAAAAATATGTATACTTCGTTTCAGGGTTCAGTTTTAGAGAGAGGAGGCAGAACAGTTTTGCTATCCTTAATATGAAACTCTTAATGTGAAAGTCTAGGGTTAAGATCCACAAGGAAGAGTGAAAGAATTGGAAAGGTCTAGAAAAGAGGAGCCATAATAATGATTCTCGAATACATGAACAATTCTGGCCCAAAAATAAGGAAACGAGCTGTGGTCCCAAGATTTTTGTGGGAACATCTTGCAGTGGTTGAACAGAAAAGATGCCATTATAATCTTAAAATGAGTGGAAAACCATTCATAATCCTCACTCCAGGCTTGAATTGTGACTAATACAGCATCAGTAGCACTAAGATGGTCCTGGAGCTGTTATTTTAGTGTTTTCCTTAAAGCAGGAGCTTTGATGTGAATTCCCATTGGAAGTAGCTTCTCATGATAATTTTTGAGGTGAACACTTGCATAGGATATTGGTAACGTCTCTGCTGATACACATGCTTTGGACAAACATTGCTGCAAATTTCACCATCACTGGAAATTAGGTAGCTCTATAACTGTCTCATACTAAAAAGGCTTCCTAAGAATTTTCTTCATGTCTTTCAACCTATGTTCAGTACTTTAGATGTTTTAAAAGTGATAAGTTAAAACAAAATAATGATGAAATAGGAAACCTGAGTAAGATTCTAGATTCACTGAAACACTGCATTTTATCTAGCAATTTCTACCAGCAAGCAGAAACTGGATCCCAAGGCACCAAAAGTTTGTCTGCAAATCCATTCTGATAGACAATATATATTTCTAGTGCTTGCCTTAGTTCTGAAAGATAAACTACTCCCATCTAAAACTGTTAGAGAGATTACCACAGAGCATTAATTCCAGCACACAAGAGGAATTTGTGAGGGAAAAGGAGGGGATTTTTCAAGAGGTTCTTGGCAAAGCTGCTTCTGCTGTCCTGTCTGCCTGCAGTGCTTGCAGTCAGGAAAGAACTGTTCTTCCAGAGCAGTGTATGAAACAGTATCTCAGGGGAACGAGATGGTTAAAGAAATGGGAAGCATTGTTGATGTTTTGTCTTTAAGGTGCAGTTGCACTATACATAAATCATCAAACTTATTGGAATATATATTGTATTAGGAAAAAGAATTGACTTTTTGAAATTTTAACATGTAAGAAAACAATGATGGAGAGACTGAATTAGAATCAGTGAGGAAATGGCATGGTATTTTACAAGCCTGACAAGTTAATGTCTGAATCAACATCTTTGTACAAAATCTCAGGAAGAATAAAGGGTGCTTTCAATCTAAGAGCACACTCTGTATTCATTAAAATTGTAGATTATTCATATCTCTTGTAGAAGCCTAGTTATTAATATTAAATAAGTCAAAATGTTCAAAGGAGTTCTTGAAATTTAAATAGTACAGAACAAATTCTAAAGTCAAATTCATATCTGTAATTCCCACGATCCATAATTCTTCACACTTGAGAGCAATTTTAGCAGTTTCAGAAGGTATCCAGGTAATGTGTGTTGAATAGTATCTAACATAGGGAAGAATGATTTTGTAAATTGGATTTTGTAAAACACAACCATTGTAATGGGCCTGTGAATTAAAGAACGTGGAGCATGCCAGTATGACAGACAGCTTAATACCGTGCTTTAGTAAGCATTACTGTGGAAGAGTTATGCTGACAGGAGTGAAGGTGCCTTCTGCAAAGAACCCAGCATGTAAATGTGACACAGAGAATTTTCTAATGTTTTGCATTGTTCTTTGTCTTCTAGAGTATCAGGGCTTCAGGGCTGGTGCTGCTGGAAACCATTCTTTTTGGATCACTTCTTCTGTACTTCCCGGTAAGTCAAACTATAGCTTTTTTGAAAAATTACATCCTTGCTGACATCTTAATACATTGAATCACCTTGGTGAACATATAAATGTCAAAACTGTTTATGTAACGATTAGTTTAATCTGACTAAAATGGGCTGCGTTCAGTGAGTATTCTTAAGAACGCTGGAACATTTTCCTATATTTATAATAATTCTCCATTTTTAGTTTAAGGAACTTTCCAGTGTTTTTTGCCTAGAAGTTTTTAGGTGTTCCGGGTTCAGCTGAGTTTTTGCTTTGAAAGATGATACCTCTCTATACTGTCCTGTGGGAAGAATACATAAGGTGTGTAAAAGGAAGACACTGATTATACCAAGTATTTCCCTGAAATGTAGTATAAAGTGTAATTACTTCAGAGTATTATTGGCATATATTTTGGTGTTTCTGAAGCTATGTGAGATCTGCAATACCACGTATTTGGGAAAATGATGTTATCCCTATGCTATAAGTAGGAGAAAAATTATTTCACAGCCATGTGAGGAATATATCACAGAAGTCACAGAAATATCATTCTTTTCTCTTTTCAAAAATCCCAGAAAACATGAGTTTGTTAGTTGCCACATAAAACCGATATATTGACTAGATAAAGGAAGACACCAAAGTGTACGTTGAATGAAGTTGATAGCGTGCAGATCAGGAGACAGAAAACAAAAATGGAGTTTTGGATTATTTTCCTATTCTATTTTCTTCAGTAGTCAGAATCCTCTGTGCTTGCACAGACCATCATTTAGTTAGTGAGAGATTAGCTGGAAAACAGAACTCCTTAGCAGTTGCAGAGCAAGTAGCAGATAAACTGTGGTAGAACAAGGTGTGAAGAATACCATAATAAACACAATCCCCAATGGAATTTTTATGCAGGGTGTTTTTTTATTGTGTGTGCCTTTCAGGTTCTGAAGAAAAAGTGTGTGCACTTCTAGGATAGTTTTATGTGGTTTTTCATCTTTCACTTTGCAGATGCCAGGAAGAAAAGTTTTGGGGTTTTCCATATTATTCCACAATTGCTTCTTTCATACTCTTTTCCAATGAGCGGAACAGAAAGCCCGCACACTGCTTTCTCGGCCTTTGTGGAAACGCTGTGAAGCATTTATAGAAAGTCACAAAGTGTTAACATGAGGGGTTTCCTGTTCATGGCTGTCTCCTCTGTGCTTTCCCAGAAAACCCTGAGGCCTTGTAGTGGCTTTCCCAGTGAACTCTGGGACATTGTAGTGGCTTCCCCAGGCCATGGCTCCATAAGAAGTGTTTGCACAGCCTCAATTCTGAAGTATGCCAGAAGCCTCATCATAGCTCTTGCTGTGTCTGCAGTCTGCTCCCCTGTCAGTGATTCCTCAGTTTCTTTCCTGGGTTTTGTCTTGGTCTTCTGTGTCACAAAGGACATCCTTTGGTAGCTGTCTTATCTTCAGGCTTCAGGTGACAAGAGATGGCCCTCCACACAACATTTAAATGCAGAGGGAGAAGAGAGGAAAGGAAATGGGGCTGGGAGGGAGGGGTTTGATAACCAAAGCATCCCCTCAGCTTTTCACTGATGTTTAAACATTCCCCTGCTTTTTTTTTGTACTGACAATTTAGTGTATTCTGAGGGAGCATCTTTTGCTGAAAATTCCTGATTAGTGTGTCTCCAAGTTGGCATATGGATTTCTGACTAGAGCTTATCCTTCTCTGCACTTTTCATTCTCATACAATATAAAACTGTCCACTGAGAACACGTTCTGTTAGACGCTAACATGAAAGTGTACAACCTGACTGCTCTCTTACAGCAGTTTTATGCTTCCACACTCTTTGCTGGGGCTCTCTTTCTTTATTACATAGGTAGTAACTGATCAGCCTGTGACTCCTGATCAGGCTGAAACACAGAAAAAAAGTTGTTTCTGTTTTCAAGGTGTTAGGGGAGAGATGGAGAGAGTGTGGTACTGGGAAGTCATCTTAATTGTTCAGACAGAGAAATTAATCCTGATTTCACCAACTGCAAGAGTATGGTTTTGTAAAAAATGAAGAAGATTGGGACTGATACAGAAATATCAGGATTTCAACATCTCTTTCCTCAATGCACTGCAAGGAAGATTTCATCAACTCTGATCCAGGGCAGGAGAGTGGAACAATAAATGTGTGAAGGATGCAAAGCATAGCCAGAGAGGTCTATTACATAATCTTTAAGAGAGAGGAGCCTGTGTTTCTGCAAGGTGTGAGTCCTTGGAATGTGAACTCTTGACATTTTGCTGTACATGGGCAGTATCTAAATGTGCTTGCCTCCTCATTGTCTGGAAAAGGAACACAATGCAGAGCAAGATGGCATGAGAAAGAACGAAAGAAAACCTGATCTCTAAATGGAGAGTCTCATTTGTGCCAGCTGACATTCACACTCAGGTTTTCATAGCAAGGTGCATAGCACAGATTATCAATTAGCATGTTGATTATTAAGACACATACATGGAAAACAGGTCATCTTTTTCCTGGGTCATATCCATTGTTTATTCTTTTTTGTTACTTCTTTCTGTTATTTGATATTTTTGTTTCTGAGAAGAGCTGGCAGTATTCTGTAACTCAGTGATGTAGTTAAAGATGGCGTCTCTGCTGATACACATGCACAGAGGTACAGTTATTTCAGCTATTTGATTTAGTTCTCATTTTCCCATAGAGGAGTACTTAGAGACTGAAGACTAATTAATACAGATCTCACCTTTTATGAACCTGCATTAGGTTATGTTTTCCACACCTAGCATGAAATGCAAGTTAAAATACAGAATGGTGTTCAGCAGTTTGATCCAGACGAGCATTACTACAGTACGAGCATCACTACAGTACGAGCATCACTACAGTAAAGTGTTCTTTAACATAAGGCTGTTTTTCTCTTTGTGTCGTCTCTTCAAAAGGGTAAAACCAAAAAGCTTTACTTTAACACTCAACTAAGTGCAGAATTACACAGCTGTAATATAATTACATGTAATTTACATGTAATTGCATGTACAATGTAAAGAGATAAAATGACAGCATTTCAGTTCTAAATAACTCAAATCTCTGTTCTTTTAAGGATTTAGTGCAAAATTACGTTCTTATTTAAAAAGCAAAATCCCCATACATTTTCTCAACACTGCTGTCTTTTGCATCTTTACTCTCTCTCTACATTTCCCTAATTCTTGCTTTTTCTAGAGCCATTTATCCAGTCTGTCTTGGATTGTTTTGAGAGCCTTCAGCATACAAATTTCAATGCGTCCAGAAGGGCTTTATTGCATCTCTGACTTTCCTTACCCTCCAATTAAACAGAAACCAAAACCTACTTTGTTAATTGCTTAATTTCTTTCAGTAATCGTCATTGTTTTCATATCTACATGCAGTAATCTATTCATAGTGTAGTATCATTAATTGAAAAATAATATCACCAGCCAGCTGCTTTTGGTGAGAAAAACATCTGTTACAATGCCCTTGTAACCAAATGGGAAGTGCAAATGATGGTCTCCACCAAAACTTATTATTCAGATTTTGCTGTACTGATAACAACACATGGATCTTTCCTGAATTATAAGCAGGCAGATGAGCTTTGTCTATTATAAACGCATAGATTTTACCCAGGAGTTGCTGGGAAGCTGTCATTTCTGAGGCACTCATTTCGTACATTTTCTTTAGTTCTCATAGTAACATCTCTGATTTCCCTTTATTTAGTCTTTCCAATTATCAATGGACCTCATCCAAATTAACAGTGGGCTTTCTAATTGATTTTGCTTATATTTCTTTGTTCTTAGATTTTGAACAGAGAGCCAAAAGCTGACTGTCTCACGGAGGAGCCTCTTAACTTCTATACTTGGCATGTGATCGGAGGATTCTCATTACTTTCCTTTTCCAGAAATACTGACTATTGTTGAGGTTTTTTTCCTAACCTTTTTTCCTAGCCTTTTCTAACTCCCTGTCTTACTAATGTTTGAAATACATCTTGCAACAACACAGATTTGAAAACTCTTTGCATGCTGCAAAGACCATTGAATAAAGTGAGCACAAGCACAATATTATGAAAGAGTAGCCTGTTAATTGCACTGGGAGTCCGATCTCAGCGGATTTTAGATGTCTTTAATGGTAACAAGTAGGAGAATAGGAAATTCTGCTTAGATACCAGAAAACAGTTTTTTTTACTGTGAGAGTGATAAAATGCTGGAGCAGGTTCTCCAAGTTTGTGGAGTATCCATCCTTGGAGGTAACAGGAATTGACTGGGCACAGCTCCGAGTGACCTGATCTGCTTTGAGCAGGTAGCTGGACTAGATGACATCTGGAGCATCCTTTCAAATGCAATTTTTCTGTGAGTCTGTGTTTCTTATATAGGTACCCATAGCTGAAACAGTTCTATGCTCACCAAGTAGCTACTGAAAAGAAACTGGGTCTTTTATGACTTGTTTTAGACTTGGATCATGTCCAAGGCTTAATTGACTATAAAGAAAGCCTGAGGTATTTGGTGATGAGTTCCACCCTAGGCAACTGATATATTAAAAATTTTCCATAGTGCTAGTCAACCTTAACTGAAACTCCAAAATGCACTCCAAAATTCATGCACTGGTATTATATATTTTCCACAGCCAGTAATAAAAGTTAGTGAGTTCCATGAAACAAAGAGGAAGGGAATAATTTCTCCATGTTCTTGACATAGCAGATAAGAAGTACTGGGTTTAAATTCCAGCAAGTGAAAGTTATATTAGCAAAGTGGGAGGAGAATCTTTGTAACAGTGAGGTTAGACCATAAGATGAACTAGTTTAAGAGGCAGCAGAGTATATTTTTAAAGACTATTGGGATTTTTCCCTTCAGTCTTCTCTTTTTTTTTGGCTTAAGAATCCAAATTCCTTGTCTTCACTGTTATCCCTTTTTCCAAACCTCTAATTATAGTGTGGCTATCTAGCTATAACTTCGGAGAAATGGAGCTTCTGAGTGGCAGTGCATTGACTTCCTAATGCTCATAAGGCAGTTCAGTAGGAAAGCCCGGAATAAACCCT